CTCTATGCTCTGCTTGGTGTCAGCTTCAATAGTATCCAGCCAACGTGTTCTTTGACGGCCTGGTTTCCTTTTACCATCAACTTTTCCAAACATAATTACTTTCCCTAGTAAATTCCCCTGCATAACATTGTCAGAGTAAGTGAAACACAGTGTCATGATTTTGCCTTCTAGTGACATGTTAAGTACTGCAGGTTACTTCACCTGACTGCTGGTTACTAGCAGTCCAGCAGTTCAATTCTCACCAGCTCAAGGTTGACTCAGCCTTCCCTCCTTCTGAGGTCAGTAAAATGAGGACCTAGATTGCTGGGAGTGAGATGCTGACTATGCAAACTGTTTAAAGAAGGCTATAAAGCACTGTGAAGCAGTATATAAGTCTAAGTGCTATTGCCAGAGGTTGGCTGCCGCTGGTTTGCACTGGTTCAAACAAACCGGTTGTTAAGATTCTATGCAGTTCAGTGAACCAGCAGATCCCACCACTGATTAGCCACGGCCCTACTCATTTTGGGCCTGTTTTCTGGGCTGTCCTCCAGCTGTTTTTACGGCCAAAAATGGCCTGAAAATGGCCTGAAAGATGGCCAAAAAACAGGCGGGGGTGGGGCCAGCCCCAACCGGCTAAATCCTACCTCTCCTGTTGAGGCGAGTGGCTAGGAGGTGGAGCTGGGTGTGATGTCATCCACCCACTCACATGACCAACCAGCCACGCCTACCCAGCCAGAGAATCAGTCGTTAAATTATTCAGATTCCACCACTGGCTATTGCTATTGAAAGTCTTCAAAGCGGGGGCGTCCAAAGAGTGTGACGGCCATGATGGTGTGATTTTAATGCACATTACCACACATAAAACAGGGTCATGTATGATCAACCATCTTGACAATTTATCATCACACTCTGTGGATATCCCGGCTTCAAAGGCTGGGGCTTTCAAGGTTATAAAGTCCAAACAGCAACTGCAAAAGGAAACATGGCACTCAGTTCCCAAAATGGGTTTGAATTCTCTAGTTCTCCCTGGCTTCTGCACACGTTGGAAATAACCAAGCAACTTAAAATTGCTTGTCTAGTATCTGGCCCAGGTTTCTACTATAAGTAGATTATAGACCAGGGTGGCTGGGTGGGAAATTCTTGGAGTTGAAGTCCACAGGTCTTAAAAGTTGCCAAGTTTGGACACTCTTGTTATAGATACTTCTCCCCAGTGTAATCTGTTGATAAATTCTATATTATCAATATAAAAACTTATTTTTAAAGGACCAGCATCTTGCTGTTCAGCAAACATCATACTTCCTCTTATTTTATATATATACCAAAGTAAGTTTCAGTCTATCTTGATGCACACCAGACACACTTCCTCTCATATCTGTCTGTCAATCCCAGTGCTTACCCAGACACCAGCTTCCTCTTACCTTAATATACTTTAATACAGTAAGTATATTAAAGCAAGCTTTAGTCTTAAAGATAATCCTTATTTCTAATACTGCATTTGGACCAAGAGGCTTTCTTAGAAATTAAAAAATATAAGGGGATATATGCCCCCAATAATTATTTAAAAGTATATCAATTTGCTACCCTCCCAAGAGATAAACTAATATTGATTTTGTTTGCAATGAAATCTCATATACTACATATTGTACATACTTTGTTTTTTAACCTTTAATAAAGTTTTTTTTTAAAAAAAAGAAAAGAAAATATAAACGTTCTATAAATAGATGGAAATTCTTTTTTTATTTTCAATCAAAAAAGGGCAACTTGAAAATGGGCACCTCATTTGCCATTCAAGTTACTGAAAAGCAATTAGGAGATTATTATTGTAAGATAGTAATAATAGTAATGATAGAATGAATAAATCAATACTTTTATCCTCAGTTTCCTCGTGAAATAATAAAAAAGAAAAAAAAGAAAAAAGAGATAAACTAAGAAAACTACTTTGAGGAGGCATAGGGGATAAGAGGATCAGCTTCACCAACTAGCCTTCCAAGTGTTTTGTAACTGTTCATATCTGCAAAATAGAAGCCATTTAGTAAAAACAACCTTCATCTTACTCTCAGATTCCAGACATGTTTACAAGGATCCCAAAATGGAAGATTGGGGAACTGGAAGTCTTGGCCATTGAAAGGGAGAAGCTAATTAAAACAGAGATTCTTGGGTGAAATGCCATCTAATTCCACCTTTTTGAGCAATGTTCTTCCTGTGGCATAAAAATTATGTCCTTGTGGGGGAATTTAATGCTGAACCCAACTAGCCTTGTTAGCCATTTTCCATGTCCTTTGCTAATTCTGCCTCTTTGCCAATTCAGGCCGAAGAAGCCATGGCAACATACCGGACCTGCATCGCAGATGCCAATACCCAGAAGCAGGAGTTGGAGGACACCAAAGTGACAGCACTTCGGCAGCTCCATGAGGTGGTCAAGCAGAGCGACCAGGTCATAAAGTCGGTGAGTTTGGCTGGGCCATCCCACCGACGTGGTTCAGCCCTTTGATCCTTAAGGAGAAGCTGTAAGCAAATTCGGTCTGATCCAGTGGTGGTATTCAATTTTTTTTTATTACGGGTTCTGTGGGCGTGTCTTGTAGGCATGGTGTGGCTTGGTGGGCGTGGTAGGGGAAGGCTACTACAAAATCTCCATTTCCACCCCACTCCAGGGGAAGGATATACTGCAAAATCTCCAGTTCCTCCCCACCCCATTAACCTGCTTTCCAACTCTGTTCTCCTTTGCAGGGCAACAAAAGAAAATCCAGCCGATCAGCTGGGACTCAATGGGAGGCAGAGAATAGATGTGGGTGGGGCCAGTCAAAGGTGGTATTTGCCGGTTCTCCGAATTACTCAAAATTTCCACTACTAGTTCTCCAGAACCTGTCAGAACTGGCTGAATATGAACTCTGGTCTGATCCATGTTCTTTGAAGGACACGTTTGTTGCTCAAAACTAGAAACTTAGTTTGTATCCAAGTGAGAGCTAAGATTGTCACAAAGGTTTTTGTGCAAACTTCTGGTAGTGGATTTTTGTGGGGTTTGGTGTTGTGATCCCCACACTGAAGATGTTTAATTCATATTAAGGACTGATAATATACCCTCAAGTTTGGGTTGACTCCCAGCATCTACATAGATGGATGACTTTATTCATATATTTCATCCTTTTTTTCTGACATGTTTCTCTCCTTTCTTCTTTCCTTTGACTTCCGGATTCCAGGCTACCATTTCCTTCTATCAAATCATGCACATGCAGACGGCCCCACTGCCTGTCTATTTTCAGACGTTGTGCGAGAGCAGCAAACTCTATGACCCTGGGCAACAGTATGCCTCTCATGTCAAGCGGTTGCAGCGGGAAGACGAACCTGAGACACAGTATGATTTTGAGCCCTACGTGTCAACCAACAACTGGTAGGGTTTGGCACTAATGCTCATGCTCTTGACAAATCCTAATTGTGTATCGCATATAGACATGAACCAGGGGATGATATAGTTCCCAGGGCTTTTACAAAAATTGTCAAGGTATTAATAATATTTAATATGGTAGAAATCATAAATGATTATTTAAGATGGGTTATAATTACAGTGTCCATATTTTGGGGGGAAAATAAAGGAGAAACTTGAGAAAGGGGCAAATCTGAAAGAGGTTCATAAGGATTAAAAAAATGTCATCAGGGTTGTGTTTGACCTGGAAGGGCATTCATTGAGGTTCCATTTTCATCCATGATGGCTCACCTGGCCTGTTTTGGGCTGCGACGGCCTCCTGCAGCCCTCTGCCAACAAAAACGGAGCTCAGGGAGGCTGCACACAGCCCGGGCTCCATTTTCAGCCACGACGGTGTCCTGCAACCCTTTGCCAGTGAAAAAGGAGCTCAGGGGGGCTGCGTGCAGCCTTCCTGAGCTCCCTTTTCATTGGCAGAAGCACTGCAGGCCGGTCCTTCGCTGTTTCCAGGACGGGCCCAATGGCCAGATCTAAGCATCCCGCCGGCCAGAACTGGGCCCCGGGCCTTGAGTTTGACACCCCTGTTCTAGAGTTTAACTTGAACTGACTCAAAGGTTTTGTCCTGGGAACCTCCAATTTATTGCTCTGACCAGCATAAAATGTTGAAATTGGTGGTCATACTGCAAAAAAGCCATGAATGCAGACCAATGTCAAAGATGCGGTCACATGAAAGGGGCAGGCAGCCATCAGAACTTTGAATCTGGGCTCTAGGTTCCCTTTGGGGGTGGGGTGTCCAATGTAACTGTGTATAGTCATTAAGTAACTGATCAATAAGTCGAAGACTACCTGTATTCCCTCTTGGACAGCTCTCCGGTGACTCGGGCAAGAAAAGGCAGCTACAGTATTCCTGAATTCACAGGAACGAGTAGCTCTGACACCTCCAGTAAAGATGGAGCAGCCTCCGAGGGTGACACAGCTGAAGGTCGAGACCCTCAGAACCGCCCCACCCAGCTTGAAAAACGAGGTGAGGAGACAGCTTAACTTTTCGGCTGAAGCAGGATTTCTGTGCCCCTCCCAAGTCCCGCCCCATATATGAACCCTTGGTTTTGTTGCATGGATAATGCCTCCAGCAGCACTTCGCTTCCAGGTGCACCATTCTGATTCCTCCCTTGCAGAATTGCCAATAAATTTAGTATGAATTTGCTCCCAAATGCAAAAACATGTAATTTTATTTACTATTTTGCAAAGAGGGTGCACCATGCGCCCACAGGTACAGTAGACACATCTTAAATCAGAGGTCGCCAACCTTTTGGACCTCAGGGACCGCCAAACTCATAATTTTAAATCCCAGGGACCACTAACTGGTTCTGTGGGTGTGGCCTAGTTTGTGGGTGTGGCTTGGTGGTCTTGTGACTGGCTGGACTTGGCTTGTATGTAAATATTATAAATATTTATATAAATATTGGATTTTTTTTATTAAAAAAGAGCAACTTTTATCCAAAATCAGGCAAAGCAGGCAGGCAGA